ACTACCTGTGCTACACAGGAAGGACAACATCATAATCTTAAAAAGTATTGAAGCATTCCAAAATGTATTCATCAAAATGTTGGATATGTTGGGAGATAAATACTGACCTGCTGCAAAAATACTTAAACGTGTGTAATGATTACGTCACTAGACTCCATTTATAATGCTGTGGGGCTGTGTACCATAAGGCGAGGGCTCAGGTACAAGTACCTGCACTTTTAAAAAGGACATTGGTAAAAATATTCCCCCTTCAATTTGAAATAGTTTTGATTTATAGTCGGCTGTTGAGGGAAATCCAGGACTTAAAACCCTTTAAAAGGCGTCTGCCTGAAACAGGATCCACCAGCAGACATGGGTGACCGGTTCCATGAACTGCTGACTGGATCGTCCCTGACTTAACTATTCATAGGGCCTGCCACAGGACCTGCAGAGAACTTCAGTCTACTGAATCTAATGAAATTATATCGCAGCTTTCAATCATATTTTGGCTGGAAACAACAAAAACTAATTAAGAATAGTAATGAAAGTGTTTTACTATTAATGTCCAAAACTCAGTGAGAAGATGTCCACTTACCTCCTCCACAATCTCCTCCTCTTCCTCCTCCTCCTCCTCCTCATATTCCTCATATTCCTCCACAATTGTCGTCATTTTGGGACGGTTTTAGAGGTACTAAAACCTACAGAAAAACACAGATGACAGTTTGAGGCATTCATTTAAACCCTGAATGAACAAAGTTTGGCCTTATAAACTGAAAGGCATATCTAATGAGTAAACGTACAATCCAACAGGGCAGCAAAGTTAACTTAAATGTTGTATCAGCGGCACTGAATTACAGTTTCAACCTGCATAAACTGGGGTGAGAGACCAAAGGACGACTCCGCCAGAGATATTTTGGGATGCTGAAAGCCACCCACCCCCACTGAAACCAATTACCTTATTCAAAAAGAGAAAAAATAAACAGCAAACACATGCTATAAAAAATATAACACCAACATATTGATGTTCAACCAATGTGCATGCCATACCAGCAAAAGATTCCCGCAGTATTTCCTGACTGTAAGAAGGCCTCACTTGCCATCCACTAGGGTCTCAAACTGATAGTCCGACTTTGTGATTTCCTAAACAAAGTGATACAAATATGTGAAACACCTCACAAACTGTGCTGTGTTAATCAATAATCACACAGGGAGAAGGGCAGATTAGGAAGGTGAGACACTGAGTGCATTATAACAGGCCTCTGCCTTTGAATGTGTGACAGCCACCCCTCCTCCTTCACTTGCCACAACACAGCTCAAAGAACTGTGCCTCCTGGCTGAAGGTTGGCGACAGCTGCCCAACTGTGCTTCAGCTATTTGACATGTAAGCTAATGCCACAGCCTGATTGGTTGACTCGGTTTAGCAAATGGAGATGCAATGCCTTCTGAGGCTGCAGGTTAAATATAGGATGGCATACTAACTACCTTTTTTTAGCACTTGATTGCCCTCTCTTTGAATTAAAATGTAAATTTCTCTGTCAAACAACAAAAGAAATAGGTGGAGCAGTTGAGGTAGAAGGACAAAATAGCCATGAAGGTGCCAAGAGGAGAAGACAGAATGGCCACACTGCAGCTGCAATTTCAGAAACATCCAAAGGTAAGTCTGGTCTGATCTTGCTTGAGTCTTGCAGTTCTGAAATGTTTGGTTACTCCTTCAAGGTGCAGCAAAGCCTTCACAGTCCTTATTCCTCAATTAGCTGTCTTCCTGGATCCAGACGGTAGCAGAGAATGGAAATGATGGATGTCCAAGCAGATGGAAAGCCATGCAGGGTGTAGAAAATATGGATATTTGTGCTTTTTCTCCGTTTCTTTGCTTACCAGTAATTTTAAAAGTTTAATGGTCTCCCAAGCCGCCAAAGCCTCCCCAGCTTCCCTCCAGAGAAACGCTGGGCAACAGCACACAGCTGCAGCTTCTACCCAGGTTATCATGTGGTCAACACAGCCAATCACAGGGCAGCACTCTCAGGTTTCAAAATCTAAATATACCTAAGTGATCCCTTCAGAAAAGAGCACCTGTTGGGGCTAATGCATCAGCGGTACAGTTATGAGGAAGGCGATGGGGTACGTGGGGTGGGGGTCTCAAGGAAACAAAAGTAAACCCCGACTACAACAGTACCACCCCGTGTCAGTGGGTAATCTGTTGGCTGTGATGTTCGCAAATGCAACTGTTTTAGTTAAAGGTTTGGAAGCAGCAGGTATGACCACGGCTAAGAATATGAGTCTGAGCTTGGGAGGAGGAGGTTAGCTGAAGGCCTGGCAGGGCTGTGAGTGCCAGAACTGTTGAGGTCATCTGTTAGCTGACCCTGAGCCGGCTAGGTCCTCTCAAGAATCAGGTCAACATCAAATTGAAGACCTGTGAGATGTACAAGCGCCAAGTCGATATGAACCACATACACAAAACTACTCAACATATTACAATGTGACTGTTTGCGAAAAAAAATAATGAATCACCAATGCTCTTTGGATTATAGATGAAGCCTGTGGATGACGGAGGAGTCAGCCTGGGGCCTTGACATTTGTTTTGAATAAAGATTGAGGGTATCTGTTACATTTACACCACTGAGGGCAGAATGTACAGTACTGTGCACACATTTATAATAATAATAGCAAATTAACCTTGTTCCCCTGTGTGTTAACAAAACCTTAAAACAATATGACTTCCACTAGCAGGTCAGCTCTAGATGCAATCCTATATATATTCACTTCATGTTATAAAATAGACTAGAGAAGTTCCATTTAACCTCTGTCAGACAAGCGACTGCTACCCAGGTAAAAAAAGAGCAAATTGTCAAAGTGATAGAGCAGACTGCGACTCAAATATCACACGATCTGCATGCATAAAAAGTATAAGGATTTAAAAATACATCACAAACTATTTCCAGATAACATACAGCATTCAGTTGACGTGGCAGTAGTAGCTGTGATTAAATCAAGCAGCAATTTATGACTAAAACTATGAAGCAAAGGGCATCAACTCTGAACATATACATATGGTGACAGAGGACATATGTACATTTCCTCCCTTTAAATTATGTGCCCCTCTCTCTCTCTCTGGTATGTCATATCTTTACTCTCACTCTTTGTGCCAGAAGCAGGGTGCTACCCGGGGACCAAGATGGACAGCAGCAGCTGAATGTCTCTCCCTGTCCCTCTGGAAAGTGGTAATGGCCCTTCACTCTGTGATGACTGCTGCTTGGTCCTCATTAGCAACATCACTGCTTTTCTGATCTCATCTAATCTGCAAAACTGAAGAAGTAGTCATGTTTTAAAGGGTGAGTTGACTTAAATGATTTGATATGAGTATGCAAAAAAACATATTTCCTCCCTTAGGTAGTTTTGTTGTTTGGGTTAATGATAGCAACTTATAAAATTTCATTCCTGGTATTTCCACAGTACAACAGCCTTTACCGTTCAGTGTCTGACATTAAGGTTCTAATTTTATACTTTTTTATAGTTTTAAGTTATCCCCGTTGGATATTTCTGGATCCAACAGCAACATGTTCTTACAACAATGCTCCATTTCCTCTGGATTATCTAGGCCGCAGTGCCAACTGTTTTCATTGGAGCTACTTCCTAGTAAAGAAAAAGTCCCTTTGACAACTTTTAATGGCTTGTTATGTGACTTGAGTAACAGAGAGACAGACTCATTCTTTTAAAATGTTATTCTCTCCTTAATGCTGCAAATGAAATGACGTTTACCTCTGTTGGATTGAAGGATATCTCAAAACCTGGGCATATCTACATAGCTAGATACCACTGACTGAACCGACCCTTCAATTAAAAGAAAAAACGTTTTGATGACTTTATGTTAAACTAAATATGTGGATAGATTTTTCAGGCTACAGAATCATTTGGTGAATTGCATTTCAGGTTCAGACAGGGTATCACAGACTTTTAATGATTCTAGCAGTCAAAAGATCAACTTCCCAATGCCAAAGACACCCAGGGAGGAGGCGACACGATGCTTAGTCACTGGAAAAAATGACAGATGACCAGTGAGACCAGAACACAACAGCTGCATGAAAGACAACCACAACATAAACACTGCCAACTGTCAATTTTAGCCCACCGACACCAAAACAATGAATTCTGGTGAGGTAAGAGGCCCTAAATGAAACCAATTCATCCGTCATAGAAATGCCGTTGCAATAACATGATAGGTGGATTTCCAGTTGGACGCACAACAGCGTTGACCTTTCTAGCTCTATAAGAAACAGGTGAAGTCTTAGATAGGTCAATGCCGGTCAGCAAGAGCTGGATTCATTGACTGATCGAATGACTATAATTTAAGGTATCATTTCAGGATTTGGACAGATATGTTAAATAGTTTGCAGTATTGCATATACCTTCATTGTTTGAACATAAATTAAAATCTGTACAAACAGTAAACAAACAAAGGGCTCAGCTTTCCAATCACATCTTGGAGGTGGTTATAGAGTCTGACAACATCGCTGACACAGTAACTCAAAATAAACTGCAGACACTCAGGTCTCAGTCCTGCTCTATGGACCAGTGTTAAATGGATACAAATACTTATTACTGTATGCTTTCTTATATAATACTGCATACTTAATACTTATTGTATATGTCATGAAAGTATTTGGTTACTGGGCGTTACTTGGGCTTGACTTACCTGCTACAAAACCTGAAATGTTTCATTCAACTGAAAAATAAAAAATTAACATATGAAACAGTTTGACTGAGAGCTATTCACAGATAAGTGTGAAAATAACAACAGCTTCAGTCTGATGATGTTTCAATTCAATAGGAAACATCATCAGACCGAGTTCACTGCTGTGTGGGCTTTAGGGACAGTGACACGATGGGCATACCCGTTCAAAAATCCATATCAATGAATATGGATCAATCTTAAATAGGCGGGAGTAAGAAAAAGGCAAGAACCCAAAGTTTTTGACAAAAAAAATCTAGCACAAGGTCCACTTACTGGATATTTTCTGGAGCTTTCAGACACATCTTGTGGGCTTTTTCTCATTAGCAGATGGAGTTTGCTCAGTTGTCCTGCAAGAACATCTTCACACAGTAGGACTTTACTAAAATATCAAGTGTTGGTGTTCATTCATTTATATCTCCACTTTTACCAATAAGTTCCATTGGTCAGTCTTTAGGCAATTAGTCAATTTAAGACTGAACCACATCTCTGTGGGCTCGTTAATTCAAGTGCTTTTAGCATTACACACAGTCATTTGATCTGATGTTAATGTAGAACATATTGATTTATGCTTTAATACACAGTGAAACTGATCAAGCTGTTTAAAAAAAATGGCCAATATTACGACTGGTAGTTACATTAAAATGAAACATACGTAGGATTATGTTTAAAGCTGTTCATGAGTCAGTTCTTACACACAGTAAAAAGTAAAAAAGAGGAACGTATCAAGCTCTGATGAAAGGTTAATCACAAGACCACAGCATGTGAGATGTGCCAATGTATAATTGTGGTTTTACAGATGATACATGATAAAAATTAAGGATAATGGCAGGGCTGTTTGCTGACGTTGTAACAAACAACTTCCTTATACCAATGACATTGTACCACGTTGACAGATCCAAGGCGTTAGCCACAAATGAGTGGAAATTCCAATTCTAACAACATAGTTTGGCTTTGGTTTGTGTTTGTTCTCATTTGAACTTGATTTTCTTGAAAAACATGACAGCCCTAGTATGCAGTCCTTACTATTGTGCTGTTTTCTTCTTCTCTTAACCACTGACTGTGTGCTGCTCACAGTTTAGAGCTGGTCTCTTCTTCTCTCTCCCTGAATCCCTCTGCTGTCTTACTCTCTGGCTCTCTCCTCTCTACTCCTGTAGCTGCTCATCATGCTCACTGAAAAGCATGAGGGACCATGAGCTCATGTGACACATTCTGCCCCCTAAAGCACTAAAAAAAAAGAATAACTTGAAGTTACAAAGATGAAACTCAATACAGTTCACAATTATCCCGAGAGAAAAAAAAAAATCATACAGAAGAAAAGAACAGTCTTGGGAGTCACCTGAAAGGAATACTCATTCATGACACGATGCAATTCGCCTGAAACAGATAAAAACACTTTATTTTACTGATTATTCATAGGGACTGAAAAGGAGGTGGGTGTTTTGTGATTTTACCCTCCCTTCTGCATGTTTCAGTCACCATCAACCATCATTGCTTGAACATTCTGCTGCAGGCACCACATTAAAAGAGAATACTGGACTGTACACACAGGGGGGCAATAAAAACTGCCACAGCCAGTCCGGCAATACTGCAAGGCCACCATGGGCTAGACTCAAACACAGCTGAAGAATAGGTCCATGTACAGTTCCAAGTCAGACACTTTTCTGACCTCTGTGTTTTTCTGAAAGGAAAACCGTGCAGAAATTTCAATTTAAATAATTTGAGTCTTTTGTTTGTCCAATGTCCTTCTGAAAAGGTCATGTTTTTTTGTTCAGAGTTCAGATGTCTTTTGTAAAATAAATTATCACAGAAGAATGTAATGTCCTGGCAGCGGTCTGCCCATGTCAGCTTCACAGGAAAGAGGACAGGGCCTCGTCCCCATCCTCATTTCAAGCTCATGTCTGGAGGCAGAGAAAACAAGAGAGCAAGGGCGCACTCCTGATCAGAGTCAAAGGTCATCATCTCACGCGCAGCCGTGACATCATCCACTCAAGACCCTGGCACAACCTGGAGGTAAACAAGACATTGGGAGTGTCGTAGAGGAATGGGGATGTGGAAGAGACAGGGACAGGAATGCAGATGGACACGCATTAAGACAAAAACTCTGTACGTATACCGTATTAGAACAAGATTTTGTGCCACACTTTTCCTACATAAAAGCACCTAATGGTGTGAGTGCATACATTGGCTACAGTTTTAAAGTCCAATTAATCAAAAGTGAGTATTAAATGCAGTTCTCACCCCTCTCCAGTGAGCGCACAGCAGGCCTGGATGTGCCACTGGTGGTCTTTGACAGAGGTAAGCTGGAGGCTCTGGGAGATCTCGGCCACAGACATGCAGCCTTTCACATCCTGCTTGTTGGCAAAGATCAACAGCCCTGCCTTTCTCAAATCCTAGAGGGCAGATAAGAGACATCAAAAGAGGAGAGGGTGAGATATGTAAATTCTTTCAAAGATATTATAACGATATTAACATTTCACGGAAAATGGCTATGACTGAACTGACTCAGCATTTAGTGCATTAACTCCGGATTTAGAGTAAACCAACCATAATTCACCCTCACCCTTATTGTGAAAATTAGTTAATTTTTAAAAAATCTTCTCTAAACACTGATGTGTTTAAAGAGCTATATAAATGAAGTTGATAGTTGAGGGTTACTCCAATGTTTGAACACATAAAAAAAAAAAAAAATCACTATCAGAAAATTAATTATTAATTTATAATTAGATAATGTTTTAAAACTGCTTGAGGCTTTGCAAAATGCTGCTGTTCCATTATAATGATAATAATAATAATAATGATAATAATAATAAAAAAATCACAGTTAAAAGCATTTTCCATAAGGTGTTGGTTTTACATGATTTTGTCTACCCCCGAGACCTCCAACAATTTATATCTATAAAACATGATAAACTGAGGTGTGGCAACGATGCTGTAAACTGTGGACATATCAATTCATGTAATAAAATATCTTACAAGTATCATTGTCTTACTTCATGTGCTAGCATTCTGTAGAGTTCCTCTTTGGTCACTGAAATCCTTTCTCTGTCTGTGCTGTCGACCACCACGATTACAAACTATTCAGAGAAGATGGAGAGAAATAATGGACAGTTAATAATAAAAATCTCAACTTTGTCAGACCCTGGCCTGGACCATAGGTACAGTGGTGCTGCAGTTACACTACACCGCATTATAATGGGAATTCATACATTTTCAAGTAATTCATAACTACTGTGGCAATTTCTTGTCTGTGATAATTCAAAAAGATCTACACTGTTGGATGCCAAAGGAAGCATAACAATTCTTTCTGATTTTGAGCCAACATAACCTACTACCTACCTCTGTGTTTGTGTAGTATGTATTCCACGAAGACCTAAGGGACTCCTGGCCTCCAATGTCCCACATCAGGAAGTGGGTGTTGTTGACCACAATCTCCTCCACGTTGCTCCCAATCGTAGGAGAGGTGTGCACCACCTCGTTCATAGAACTATAACATACAAAATAAAAAAAATAAAAAAATAAAAAAACCTTTGAGTTGTTGGTGACACAAGCAAAATTCACATTTATGCCACATTTTATAGATAAATAAAACTGTGAGGATACGTAAGAAGCTTAGTGAAAGAACTACATTTGTATACTTACAACTGGTACAGAATTGTGGTCTTGCCGGCATTGTCCAGGCCAACAATAATAACTTTGTGCTCTGAAAAGCAATAAAGACACTTACAAAGAATTCACAGAGCAAGCAGTGACATCAATATGTGGGCTAAGTGCTGGTGACTGACTGATGTACGAGTCTTATGTAAACTCAGCCAAGTAATCTGTTTACAGGATGTCTTCTGATGTGGAACTGCATTGAGCGATTCACACAACAGCCCTATTTGTGTTCTTTCAGTTCCAAATTGTGTAGTTTCACACATCTAGCATCGCTGCGACATTGTGGGGCTGTGAACACTGTACTTTCACAGCTACGGATGAGTTAGTGGGTGGTCTTTAGCAAGCTTGTACAATCAGGCTGAACCCAGTAGCAGCTGAGGAGATGGCATTCACAGTTTCTCTCTCTCTCTCTTAAATACAAAGAGGCTTTACTCGTGAAAAAGACAAACAAGATGTGACAACTAGGATGAATTGCTCTCTTGCGGTTGATATGCTGAAGTGACAAGTCAATAGTAAGAAGTCCTGTAGTAAGCACAAGGATAGGATAAAGGTAAAGGACACAAGATTGCTCAGCACTGGTGCATCAAAGTGTTACTTGCTTTTCTATAAATCATTTGCGACATAATTCCCAGCTTCAAGCATCTCTTCACCACTAGGTTTCACATCCTGTGATCACCCAGAACACAAATGAAGAACAAAGACTGTTTGTTGTTATTAGTTATGGACAAAGTGGCAATCAAGAGAAACTAGAGCATGAAAGAGCAGGATCAAGCCCACATTCTACCTACACTTTTAAAGTATGGCTTATCAGAATTATCTCCATGTTTAGTCTACAGAAAAGCCTAGCATCACACAACAAACACACAAAGGCATGCGCACTGGGGATACATTTGGTCTCTTGGTAGGAAGAACTTACAGGGTGATGGCTCTTATACCGACTTTAAAATATTGTCCTAAAACACTTCAGTAGTTTTTGCCAGTTTGAGTTACAATTTCTCAAATTTACCAAAATATACATACATATACACAACTATACATTTACATGCAACTATACAAATACAGTCAAACAATACAGCCACGCAAATCTCTCAGCTGCGGGACTAATAATGAACTATCTCATCTTATCTCTTAAACTATTTCACTTAGAAATAAACATTAGTTGTTTGCACCAGATCATTAAATTGTTAAAGTGAACCGTGTGCTCCAGTATCTTATTTGGTTTCAGTCGTTGAGAAGTGGCCCATTGAACTGTCTAATTATTCTAATGTTTGTACATCCTGGCATAACTCTTTGCAACTGCTTCTGCCAACCAACTCATCCAGGTACACGGAAGACCCCAAGTGCGTTGGTAACAGTAACTGTCAAGAGAGCCTCGTGTGATAATAGCTTCGGCCAGCCACCTCATCATAATGCAGGGAAGTTTAATGGAGGTTTAGCCGGTCAGACAACCACAGGTGTCACCTTGAATATGAATGATGGGATACTTCCTAAGAAATCACAGCATCAGCCTGGTGACTGAGACTGACTGGTTCTTAAAAATTTGTATACCAATATTTAGTATACAATCTTAATATGTTGTGACCAAGAACACTTTTTTCCCCAAAGACTGATATGAAACAGATTCCCAAACGCAGTGAAGAAATGGGCAGCAATTCATTACAGCCTTTAACGGGTTGATATGGTGAAGGTAAATTTAACACAATAAAATAATAAATAAGATGTGCCCCATAATGTTTCTTTGGTTGTAAATAAAAATAAACAAAAAAGAGAGCTGGCCAACAAATAAACTTCATTACATCTTTTTTGTTTGGAAAACTCCTTCAAACCCTCGCAAACCCTGTAACTGTGACTAAAACCTTAAAAAAGAAAAGGAAGTGAAAGCAGTTGCAAACAGAATTGCACAAGATCAAAATGTGAGCCTTGTGTCTTTGCAACTCTCCCATGTTGAATCAAAACAAAACAGCTGTGAGGCAAGGAGTAAATTATTTCAGCTAAAATGCACTTTTAGCAAGCATAACAGACTGCATGCATAGAGATAACACATAGCTGACTACACTGTCTTTGGTGCTTGGAGATCACAAGTCAGTCTGGTGAAACTGCAAGAAGCTGGGGCAAAAAAAGTCTTGTTTTGAAAAACAACAAAAAAAAAAAAAAGGTCACGCAGGTGCCAGCTAAGCTGCCTGCAGACATACTATCTAAACACATTAACCGTTGATATATTTAAAAGCAGGTGGCGCAGTGGCTGCATGGGTTTCCTCCTACAATCCAGTGTCAGTCTGCAAAAAAATATTTTTTTCTTTTTTATCATTATTCTGCAGCTTTGGTAAAATAAATGTCTGAAAATAACAAATCGCACGTCACAATTTCTCAGAGTTTAATGTTGTGTCTTCAAATTGCTTATTTTGTCTGACCAAAAGTACAAAACAGAAAGACACTCAACTTACTATCAAATAGGACAGCAGCAAATCTTCACATTTGAGAGGGTGGAACTAGCTAATTTGGGGTATTTTTGCCTAAAAAAATGATAATTATCTAAATTGACCAACTAACTGATAAATAACTGTAATCCAAAGACATGAAGGTTAGATTAACTTCAAACTCTAAATTCCCCATAATTAAGCACAAACGTGGGTGTCTACGTATGTCTTCCCCAACTCTTGCCCAATGTGTGGGATAGACTGGGACAGTCTCTCTCCAGAGCCCCCTTTCATAATGAACAGGATTAAGATTTCAGAAAATGGAAAGGAATTTTAAAATCAAATCTAAGATCATTTAGAAGCCATGAACAAGTCAACACTGTGAACATGTTTGTTACCATTCCCTTTTAACATTAAACTGTATGGATTCTGTAATGTCTAATCACATTTCCTCTTCACTGTGAATGAACTTCTGTTGTTCCACTGGGTAGAATCAATCAACTGGGGACAGCCATGGTTAAGGCTTCCTTAGACTTGAAAGTGCAGCTGGTGCTAGATAGAGGAGTTACAATAAAAGCCTTACAGACCCCAGGGACAGGAGGGATGGAAGCAAAATGGAGCAGAGCTCAGTGGAGATCTAACAGGGGATGAATCGCCAGACAAAGCTAGCAACAGCAGGAAATGACCACAGTTTTTGCCAATGTTTATGTCAAAAGGCAGTCAAAGGATGTTTGTCAAACATTTTAAAAGACATTAAATGTTGTGTATGCCTACACTAACCATTATTTTAATCTTCAATTGAGATAGTAATTACTTTTTCAATTAATTGTTTAGATTGTAAATTGTAAGCCAATCTCAATTTCCCAGAACCCAATGTGGCTCTTAAAACCTAAATAAAATACAATACACTTAACATTGGTATAAAACAGAGACAGGATACAAGCCAAGGTTGGTTTTTCTGTTGACTGATTAGCAATTATCCACTTTAGTTTTGACGTTAAGTATGTGAACAGCGGATAAACCTTTCTGTCTGGTATCTCGCTGTGTACTTTAATGTATAGGAGTCACTGCACCATCAGCACTATAAGATCTGGAGTACATGTAATAGACCTACTTTACAGCAATTTTGTTCACAGCTGACTGCCCACAGCATGTTAGTCCCATGTGATCCAGTCTGAGTCATGACGAACTAAAACTCCATAGTGAAATTACAGTTATCCCTGTGTTAGACAAGCTAAGCCAACTGTGAATGGATGATGGGTTACTTGTATTCTTGACATTACCATGATAAGGTGATGTGATTACCCTGGGAGTATAAAGTCAATGTGACTCACTCTGAAGTAATCCATTGATCCTTATTCAACCAAGCATTCTGCTGATGTGGCTGACTTCAGTGTGCTCTGTTTGTGTGGCCATCTCCAGTCATAATACTGGCCAACCGGGCTGAACACTGGACCATACGTCGGGACTCAAGTTACAGAGGTTTCGCAATGCAATCTGTTTACTGATTCAAGATCACTAGCCAGGGATCGACTTGGTTTCAACTAACCTGCGCTCCAAACCCCCGAGAGCATAAATAATCTAACACTAAGTTAACGCAGAGACGGTGAGCAGAGTTTGTAGAAAACTACATCCTTCACACGTTAAAATGCGAAACAACAACGTAAACACATATAAAAAGGACATAAATTACAGTGGAAGAAATTATGATAACAAAATAAGACTTGTAAACTGTCATGTGTATAAAGCTGTATCCCAGGCTAGTATGAACGCAGCAGACCTGTATTTCACAGCGGGCCTCCTCTGACCACTGACTCCACTTCGCTCCCATATCTTCGACAGTTTTATGATAAATGCCACGGCACCGTTCTTACCTTGGTGATTAAAAAGCCTCCATAGCTTTGTAAATAGTATTCCCATGGCTGACGATGAGTTTGTTTTGATGCCAGCTTGTAAGAATCCGCTGTAACTTAGCTAGCTAGCGTTGATGATATTTAGTGCTATCAACTTTACCCAGCTAGCTAGCTCGCTAACTACACAGACGAAGAGCTGTCAGAGCATTGAAGTGTAACCGCCATACTTGTATGAAATAATGTTACTGATATCTCTTCCATATGATGTAAGTTCATGTATGACGGTAAATGTATTGCCGAGAACAAAACCGAGACGCTGTCCACTGTGAGTAGCTGATTGGTATCAGCTGGCTGTTGTGAAGTGCGCTGCGCTAGCTAGCTGTCAATCTTGCGCATGCGTGCTTGCACTGTCCTGTTGGAACAAATGATACACCTAAAACTAATGTGGTCTGGTACAACAGAGTACAGCAGTCCAGCAATATATTGTACTGCTTTATGCGGACAGATGTTTCTATTAGTTTATCCACCCCATTTATATCGATGAGGGTAGGCTTAATAGCGGAAACCTCTGTGCAAAACCGTTGAAACATCTGTCTAAAGACCGTTGTATTAGATTGCATTAGTTTTTGCTAGGTGTACCTTATAAACTGCCAGTATAGTATGTATACTAATACTCCAATGTATTTTGGAAGATGTATTACAGTAGAATAAGAATATAAATGATCACATAGAATAATCATACTGCATATAATATATTTGATAATCAATTAGTAAGTTAAGTAATTTTTTCAGCTAAAATGCATAATATACTCATAACGATAATAATTATTCCATAAGTAGGGTGATCGATTAATAGACCAACAAAAACTTAATCTGCAACTGTTTTGATTATCAACTAATCATTTAAGTATTTTTTTCCCCCAGCAAAAATACCCAAAATTCTCTGGTTCTAAATGAGAATAATTTCTTCACCCTTGAGTTTTGGACTGTTCAGAAAAAATAAGCAATTTGAAGACATCCTCTGAGGCTCTAAAATGTGATTTATCATTATTTTCTGGTATTAATTGAAACTATTGTATGTATCAAGACCTCATATTTGTTTTGAAGTGCTTGCATTGTATTCAAAATATCAAGACATATGAGGTAATACAGACAAAGAACAGGTGTGTGTATGCTTTTGAACAAAAACAAGCTCTATCCATACAACAGCATAAGGGCAGTTTATTTCATTACAATTGTAAAATGACAGTGCACACAAACTTCTAATCAATGCATCATTCTCTCACAGGCAGTTTTCAGATCTTTTAAATTGTTGCTTATGCTCCAGAGTTTCGAAACAACAACAATAAAAGCTACTGTAAATGGCAGATTAGACCAGAAGTCTCCTTGTCGATGTTCCTTTTTCCAGAAGCACAATGAGATCTCTGGCCTATGGACTAAAAAAACTGAACTTGAGATTTTCAACAAATAATAAATTACAAGATACAAGAATATGTCATTAAAAGGTGATGATATATTAATCCTGCATTAGCCGTCAGCATACAAGTGAATTCATCTGATTTAAAAAACTGCAGGGAACTGCTCTACATTTCCATGAACGTAGCATGTAACAGACAATGTAACAAAACAGCACAGTCCTGCCCAAGTGCTTTCAGAAAGTTTATGACTCATTAGTCTTTGGTGAAAATCAAATTGAATCGATGGAAATATGGAAGAAGGGTCTGTTAAATTACTATTTAATGTAAATTTGACTTTATTTTATAAAACCTTTAAAAATAAGATGGAGGAAAGTTTTTTATTTATTTATTTTTATCAGATGGTGGAAGGCATATGCAAGGCCATGAAAGACGAAATGAATGGAATGTAATTTCACAAACTGAAATGAGCTTTCTTTCAATTATTTGTCTGTATTTACATATGGAAGCCCTCAATATAAGTCACTCATTAAAATCCAATTCTATCAGTTTTAAATGACGTCCTGCCAAACACAGTTCAGACAACAGTGGCTGATAAATGCATGACATATGAAAAACATGCTAGCGTGACCATTCTAGTGACTCCTGTGCTCCTTATATTAATAATTTTTTTTTTCTATAACAACTAAATCATAACATCTTTTAACAATTTAACACGACACTCAGAATCAAATCCCCCATCAGATGGGTGAGAACATAAACGCTACATCTGTCAGCACACTTCCTGGTCTCAATGACCTCTCATTCCTGAGGTTTGGAGCTTTGAAATGTGTTGGTATCTGCATGATGTTTGTGTTTCCGACTTGATATGATTAATGACAAAAAATGGCATTAAGAAAGAAACAAAGAGTGTGCACAGGGAGCTACTGTATGGACCCTGAAGAGAAAACCACAACACCATCCATGTCACTTAAAAGCAAATGTGTAAAACTCTGGATTTGGGAACAGGCTTCCACAAGATTTATTACACTCACATCGAGGACAGTGGCAAACAAACTTGAGAAGCATTAAAGATGCATTATATTCTGCTTCTACCAGCTCCTGGGTGCGTGCAAACATGTTCTGTGCTGATCATCGCCACTGGATGCTCTTGGTGTCCGGCACTGGATCGAGGCATGTAGTGACCTGTAGTCACGGTCCTACCTGCATGCTACAGTAACAGCTGAGGCGGCGGGAAGGGTCCAGAAGAGCCTACGTCGCACAATATCACCTGCTAGTGTACTTCACTCTCAAGCCACATCTGGGGACATATTCAGATCAGCTCCAGCTTTAACCTTCCCTTTAAACCTTTAACTGTTCTGGTCTTGTGCTACTGTCATATCCAGTTCCTTCCCTTGTTCACATCAAAGCAAGAGCAGGATTCTTAATTTTTTTAGGTTCAAATGCCCATTTGGCAGGAGCCAAGGCCAAAGGGAATATGAGGTACTACACATCAATACGAGGTTGTTACAGTCCAAATGAGTGTAGTAGTTTCATCATGTTACAGCAAAGCTGCCTCAACTCTTAGGTCCATGGTGGTCGCTTAGAGAAAGACAGGCCTAGACTTTGTTTTGCAGCAGGCCGCAGCTCAAAGCCGGTGCCTGGATTCCTGGCTGTAGCCTCCCGGCGATCCTCGATTACGATGAGGCTTGTAAGAGTCCTGGTAAGGGTCCTGGTAGTCCTCCTCCACCAGAGGCGAGTGGTCCCGGCTGTGCTGTGAGCCCGAGGACAGACGGTTGCGATTCTTACGCGCCCGTTCATTATGGTAGTTCTCGTCGGCAGGCATCAGGCTGCGACGTTCAACAGGTGAATGATCTGTTGTTGTGTGGTTGCTATTGCGGTTTCTTTGGGCCTGTGTAAGAGAGGAAATACTGATTCTGTGTGGTGTTTTGTTTTGTTAAACATTTGACACAACAACTAATTCATGTTCCAAATTAACAAAAGGTTTGTAAAATATTGCAAAGGTTCAAATATTAGATTGAATATATTAGTTCTATCTAACTCTATCTCTATCCATCTCTACTCATATTAATATAAGAGTCATATTTAATGATAAAAGATGTTCTACGTGAAGGACTTCAAAGTCAAAATTTACTTTTAAACACACCTCAAAGTCGCTCATGTCGGCTCAAAACATGGTTGTAAAATTGTTATAAAGTGTTAACAGTTTCCTCATTGCTGTAAATGAGGAAACAAACGAAGATCAAAGATCTGCAGCTTCTGTCGGCTTGAATTTAGTTTATTACAATGGATTCCAGGAGTGTCAGAGACGGAGCTGCAGCTTCACCCGCTTGGTCACTGCCAATCCATATGCTCAGCAAGCACCAAACACTTATGGTTTTGCTAATATTTCCCTAATCCTCTGCTTTGGACGGAGCTCCAGAGCCTCGAGGAGAGCGGCAGAATGATACAGAACTTTTGCATTACTGAATTACTAGTCTTTTATTTAAGTGCACAGAACATCCTGAGCCTTCGGATGGAAAGCAAACATTTTGCAGCTACCTTTTTGTGTCTGATGCTCAAAATATCTGAGTATTGCTTTAAGCTTTGGCTAGAAAACCTGCAATAATACATTTATCAAAAGCACACATAAGCAACATACAAACATAATGATACATAATCAAACTTTAAATTCAGAATACAGCGCAACTTTTCCTTTTTTTTTTCTTTTTCTGTTTGACATGTTCACCTGAATGGCAGCAGGATATGGGGAGAGAGCGGTGGAGCCCAGATTGCGGCCAAGCAGGGGGTTGAGTGGCGTGCTAAGTGAAGTGTGTGTGGCACGCCAGTATGCCTCCAGGTACTCTGCCAGATGTTCACACGCATCTTCCAGCTGGTTCTCATCCAGAATAATATCAAACATCTCCTGAGGTTGGGAAGGGAGAGAAGAAAGTGTAGCTGCTGGTGTACGTGAAAAGTTTCACCACAGAATAAAACCTAACTAAGTGGTTGTTGCTTGTCTAGATTTAACGGGGTGTTTGACATTTACTCACAGAAGGACACTGTGCTAGTTTCTCAGCTGCAACAAGCTGCACATTCAAGTGTTTGCTTTGAGACTTCCCTCTTGATTTGATCAGCCGCTGGAGGACCTATGGGAAGGACAGATGCAGTAGAAATATCTCCAATTATGGAATGAACACCAAAGACCTAGTACGCAGTAAACAAGCCTCACTCTTGGCTAGACGGGCCTCTTTATCACCATCTCCTCTGCACTGTGAATTACAGCTGCTCTCTAAACATTACAGCTGCTCTCTATGCATGTTTGGGAGAGGAGATTAAGTTTCCAGAAAATCAAACCGGCACAAGTAATAACACGCCTGTCACTGCTCCTATAGGTTCAAACTCCGAGTGTAACAGTCATGCTTTCTGCCTCAGACTTTCCCCTCGCCGTCTGGTCGGCTTCTCTCATATTTCACTTTGAAATGTAAATAGCAGGGGAATAAAGCTAAAACTGTTTCTGAGATTCTGTTTGACGTATTAATTTGTTTGTAATTGCCTGCCTGAGTGCAGTAAGTTATTTTCTATTAATTTTAAATAATGTTAATCCTCAAAAGATAGCAACTCTTAAGACTATATACCGCATCCTGCTCGGAGAGCAGCAGCCGGGAATTATCTAGCATCTAAGCTTTCAATCTTACCTTAGGTGAGGACACTTTAACATGGACGATAATGGGTGCTAATGAGGTCTTGATGAGCTGAGCTGGATGGTTAATGGTGTCTGCATCCAGCACCACCAGCTGTAGAGACCGGGCCAGCTCAAAGATCCTTTCTATTTCACTCTGGACCTCCGCTACAAGAGGACAACAACATACAGCAGAGCAAGAATGAACACGAAGGAAAATGAGAGCAATTACAAAACATTCACGGGTGAAACGCCTACGAGACGTGCACATCATTGAGTGAGACAGTTCCTGTAGCTTTACCAAGGCTGGAGCGGGTGTTGGATCTCTCAATGATGGCCCTCTTACTGGGGTTGTTTAGTACTGACCTCTTGGCCAATGATATGTCAGCTGTTACCCTTGTGATGGATATCCTGCAACAACGACAAAACGTACATGTCACGCAGAGCGAACCGGCAGCGGGATGATGCACAGCGTCAGGCGCCGCTTACCTCCCGTCAAACCTGTGCTTCAGGAAGTCGAACAGCGCCTTCTGCATCATATCCGTCACCTGCGTCCGCGAGCGAGGGGGGAGAAGGTGGAGGAGATGAGATGAAGAGGGAGGAGGAAGGGGAAGAAAAATTAAAGACTGATTAGGCAAAGAGGCCAACATCAGCGTCCTTCCATCCATCAACATCTACTGAATATGTTACAAAGCAGCAAAAAAAGTAGAAGTGAACTCTTATTATTCATTCTAATGCAACCCAGTCAGGCTGCTGCCGAATGCTCTGTGAATTACACACTTGACCGAGCGGTTTGTCCACGGCGGGCAGTTTCTTCCCTTCTGGCTCTCCGCAGAACGAACGTGGGCCACATTCAATTACGTGATTAGGGGCTACAATGAAAAGTGTCGCAAAGGCCAATGCACAGGTGATGAATTGGGGCAATTAACACAGCGCAGCCAACAGTTCGGCACTGGCTGATGGATATGAGTTGCCACTCTGAGGCCTGGAATTGAAACAGAAAGTCGCTTGCGTTCAGAAAGTCATCCTTAAACACAGTCAGTCCGGTTTGTTCGAGGTGTTCGACTCAAGGCGATGAGTCCACGGATACACGAATCACAACAGGCAAAGCGCTGCGTTTAGCTCCGCCAGCTGTCACTCTGATTCGTTCAAATGAGCCTGACAGCGACAGAGGGATGACAGATGTCCTTTCAGCTGAAACACAGAGCGGTTGTCCGATGAAAAATACTGCTATTAAAATGTGCAATGACTTTGTGGATCAAAAGGTGATTCATTTTACAACCATACAGCAGCAGCGGCTCCAGTAACACGCCATTTCATGCTACTTCATACTTCTAACTTAGAGAGAAATGTACTTTTTAATCTTATTTTACTCTTATAAAATATAATTTGCTGTTATGGATTAAACTACCCAACAGTGTATAAAGTCGCTACAGCTTACAGCTGCAACATTAAAATGCTGCTTGCATACACACCTGTAATGTCATCTATGCAGCAGTCATATAAAACTGTCGAAAATCATTGTGCTACATAACATTTACTTTAAGTACATTTTGCTGATAAAACTTCTGAACTTTAACTTCAGCAACATTTCAAAGGTCCCACATTTTACACTTTTCTGGTGTTTTATTTGAAGCGTTGATATCCATAAGACAATATAGTTTCGTTTCTGAATACAGGCTGTGTGCATTTCTCTGTGGACTGAGCGCGTTGATACTTTCACAGTATTAATATAGAACCTAGACCTGCTTTATAATAAAAAAAAACAAACAAACATGGAAATGTTACTTTACACAATATGAGACCTTTAAAACGCACAGAATTTCTGGTATTGCTAAATTAAATAATTCCTTCTATAAAAGATCTGAATACTTCTTCCAGCGCTGCAACTGTACCGCCCCTCACACATAATGCACACAACTCTTCTTCACTCCCCCTGTAAATTAATAAAAGTAACTACACCCTTACTCGTGGCGCTGCTCACACCGTCGCTCATGAGCTTTATTATTTGTAGGATGAAACTGCCTTCCGGCGGTGAGGCGAACAATAAACGAAACGCCATTTAGTAACTCATCTCGTTCTAAAACCTTCGGCGCAGTACCCATTATTCTCTGCTTCTAATTTCAAACCATGCTCCACTTTTTTTTTCCAGACTGACGCAGTTTACCCAGAAGGTTGTTACCACGGCAACACCCGAATGGGAGGCATGGACTGTGATTCCATGACAACTGACTCCGGGCTCCCACCTCCCACCACCTCCTTGGCCTCCTTTATTGTTTGTCCTGTGGTTCCAATAGGTACTGATAATCAATTACAACTTTCAGTTTTAATGTTTTACCTGTGGGAGGTAGCAACACAAGCTCATAACAGCTGCACTGTCACCAAGAGAAGATATGTATTATAATTATTGTTTATTGTTTATTTAGCGGGGACAATGAACAGTACATTTGCTGCACCAGATGCAGCTTAATAGCTCATTTTTATCTGTCGTCCCTGGGTGGAGGCGCCCGGCAATGCACGGGCTGGAGAAGTGAAATTATGTCAAGCACGGACTATCCTGGTTATTTCAGCTAAATGACATGTTTACATTTAAAAGTTTATATCATTAAACTGTGAGGTCAGTCTTTTGTCCTCTCAATGGAAAAACAGCAAGATTTGCTGTTTTGGCTGTGAAGCAGAGGCTGAGTAAATGCCTTGAGGAGCAGTAGCACGTCCTACCTCATAACCTTTCAGGGACGGTCCCACCAGGACAACCGGCCTCATGGAGGGAACCACGTCATACGGAGGGATGTGCTCAGCCTGGGGGGGTGGGGTTGGGGGTTGGGGGTGGTGGTAGAACACAACTACAGTCAAGCTTTGATTTTATTAGCTAAGTGTCTCCTAAAGAGTCCAAGTCACCAAGTGTTCTTCAAATATATCTCGGTGTTACTTGAGTGATGCTTTAAATGAAATTATGTTCCATGACAATTTTATATAAATAAATGTACATCTTTGTAATAACCTGTAGAAGCACCCACCAACCCATTTAGCCCAGTTAAAGGATGTGATGTGACACCTAGAAAAAGCTAGAAAAAATTGAATTTGCACTAAGAGGGAATATAAAGTTTTATTTGATATGGCAACATAAACTCTGTTTATTAGGTTTATTAAGAGTTTATATTTCTATAAAACAACAACAACTACAAAACAAAGAACTGTCTGCTTTTCACAGCAGTTTCCAAACATTTTAAATCAAATATGTGTCACATTTAAATTTTTTGTTCATTGTTTTCAGTGTCAGAGTTACGATTAAAAAGAAATAGAGCTTTCAACTACAAAAGCTCATTTAAATAATTTTGATAAATCAGGTAAGTGCAGATGACCACATCTGTTGCATTTATCATCTGACAGTCTGCAGTATCCATATAATGTATAAGTCTTTTTTCAAAAAGTCATAATTTACTTTTGTAAAGAAAGTGATCCTTCCAGAGGTAAAGGTTAAGTTTCAAGTGTTAATAATTTTATTTTCTCGCTCTGATAATTTACCTGCTTTATATGGCCTTTACTACTAGGACTATTAGGAGGATATACAGTAGGAACAAAACATGAGTAGTAATGTAAGTAATTCACCGTACTCACCACTTTCTGTTTCTGCTTTCCTGAAAAAGAAAGGAAGGATCAAGTGAGTGCATACTGGACCGAGACTATATGTGAAATTATATCAGACTATAAAGCGTCACAACATCACAGGAGGGAAATAAATACCCCTCACACATACAGAGCGTCTAACGAGACAAACAACTCCCTCTGTGAATCTGACGACAGCGTTTCCTCTCAGACCTAAACAGACTTGTGTCTTTGGGACGAACCTGCAGAGTTGGGGTTTGGTTTGAATGTGCCCGACACCATTTCTCCCAGACTGGAGGAGGAATTCCCACTGGATTTACTGCTAGAGTGAAAACAGAGAACAGAAAGAGAAGAGTGTTAAGGTAAAATCCAGCCAGACGTCTTCAGTCGAACACCGCCAACCTCCAGAGAACACGTGACCACAGAGCGAACTCGCAGTGTTTAGTCTTCTTGGACGTAACTAACTGGTACAAGTGTGACCATGTTTTTAAGTTACTTTGAAGAGTGCTGAGGTAGCCTTGAACTAAAAGAGATTTAAATGAACAAATACATAAGAAATAACTGAAATAAAAACATTAGGTTTGAATAACCAGATGCGTCGACTGACTCTGACTCGGAGTCACGTTCACTGCGCTGTAAGGAAGTCATCGACTAAAAAACATCCCTCTATCTATTATTAAGACGAAGCTTTTTGTAACAGAAAACAAAAAGAAGAACAAAATGACTCAAGGTAAGTAGTTCTTTTTTTTTTCTTTCTCCATTGAAAGTGAGGAAAGTCAGCACTCAGCATCTCTAATCACATTGGTGGATAAAACACATCACCCCATCTGATGGAAAATTCTACGGTGGCCACGATCCAGGCACACCTCTGAGAGGCTGGACCACACAACTCAACTTGGCTTTCATCCACCTGACTTCCTCCCTATCTGCTGGCTCAACTGCCAGGCTCTAGTGGCTCTCTCTCCCCTCAGCACAGCCCCCCACAACCCTCCAGTCCGACTCTCTTTATCCCCTTTGATCCATGTGTCTACTCTACGCCGCCTGCACTCTCACATCTCCAGTCCTCCTCCCTCTGCTCACCCATGGAAGCGTCCTCTCTTCTGCTCCTGCTGGAGTCGGATATTTTCCAGCTTCAGAGGGCTCGGGATGAAGCCGATGTCGCAGCCTTCCTTCACCAGGCGGCCGATCCACCAGTCGTTGTTGTACTTCTATAAAAACGAAAAAATAAAATCAGAGAAAAATCATCAGCATGTGAAATTAGTCTGCAGGATGGACAGTAATAACTGATGATGGAGAGATCCAAGATTACTTTTCAAAATTCTCTTATAAAAATATATTTATGAAATGCTCATTCATTCCCTTCATTTCCACTTGCTGCTGCAAAATCTAAAAATCCTGACCCCGAAAAAGAAACTGCCCTATTAATCTCAATCACAAGCAGAATCAAAGGGGAGAGCCCGGTCCCAGTGAGCTAAGACACCATAATCTAATGACAATATCAAAGAGAAATTTAAAGCTCTCTCCTAAACAGCGGTGAGTGAGGGCTCGGTTCCCAAAAGAAGTTTGGCAGTCATGACAGTGTGCTGCTAAAATCTTCACTTCCAAGAAAAGACAGTTGGATTCCAGTCAAGGCTAAAATTCACTATAGAAACAAAAGATGTTTAGCATCACGCAGAGCCATCAGGGACCCAAACCATATGGCCGGAGTCATAAAGACATATGTATCATAGACAGGAAGAACAAGGAGTCCTGCAGCAGATGGTCTGGCCCTCACAAAAGCCCTGGTCTCAACATCATGGAGTCAGTCTGGGATCACATGAAGAGACAGGAGACACTGAGACGGACTAAACTGTGGCAAGTTCTCCAAGACGCTCACAACAACCTGCCTGCCAAAATACTGTGAAAAACAAGAGCACCCAAAAGAACTGATGCTGTTTTAAATGTAAAAAAGCGATCACACCAAATGTTGATTCGATTTTTTCTGTTTACTGCACAAAACAAAAAGAGTCAAATAACACTGCGGCATGACCTCAAAGCAGAGTGCCATCTCCTCTGCTAAATTCATTATTTTTTGTATAACGGGACACACTAGTGAGTACCACACCACAAGACCCTGAAGCGCTTCAAGATAATAGAGATTTATACATCGACAACTGCAAACACAAATGGGCAAACTCCCCCTGCTGATGAAGTCCATCTGATTTGAAAGGTCCAGAACTGTTATTAAATGGACGTCGGGTGTGGGACTGTGTTTTTATGAGTTTGGCTGCAGTTTCTCTCACTGTCAGGTTTGTATAACTAGTGCCTTAACTGCATATGGGTTGTTGCCATGGTTACCTGCAGTTTAATACATCTTGACGGTTGATTTAGAACGACATTTAAGCTGTTGGCTGGAACTAAAGTATATTATACTAATGGACAGCTGCCAGCCAATCAGAACAGAGTATTTTCTTTGGTAGTGAAAGAACAGTCTGCTTGCACGGTCCAATCCCATAGAAAAAGTCTATTAGATACACAGTAGAATACAGAACTACGAACAGAACAAACACAGATCTGCCCATGTGATTTCTAAACCGAATGGAGTGCACTAAATTAAATCCTCCACACAGTGCCACAGGTTTAACGTTACTGGATAGTGACTGAATTGTACCTCTTTGATGTGGAGGAAGTCCTTGGCATCAAAGGAGACAGCCGTGCCAGCCACAGGAACATCCTCATCCAACGCTCCACAGTAGCTGACATTGGTCCTCACAGCAAAAGCCACCGCTTTAGTCTGTAAGACAGACGGGAGGAAAAAGTCATCAGAGCAACAAGGCAGCAACGTACAGTGAGTATTTAAAAAGGGAAAGGTGACATGGATTAAATCCTCTATCACATAATATCAAACTTTATATTATGATACTGATATATTATATTGTTTGGTGGAAATTCAATTATGAAACAGTTTATAACATAAGCAGAAGCAGCAGTGTGTACACAGAGACACAGAGACACAGAGACACGGAGACAGTGAGTTTTCCCCTCAGCAGAGAGTTACTGCAGCACCAATGCGCTCGTCAACGCTTCAGCATCACACATGCGAGCGAGCCCGGAGTGAGGGGTGGGTGGTGCTACAGAGACGCTATGTCAGACCTCCTGACGAAGGTGGCCGCCAGACATCAGCAGCGGTGATCACACCGCAACCGCAGCACACAGCAGCGCCCGCAGAGGATCTCACCCCAAGGCCAAGAAGCCCAGATAATCTACAAAGATGGCTCCTTCAAACACACTCTATCAGGCCTATATTTTCCTTATTCTTCTTCTTGTTTTTATCTTTTCTACTATGAACTATGTGGCTGTAATACATTGAACTAAATCATTAAGTTGATGATTTATTTATCTTTCAGTGTACTGGTTAGGTTTTAATTAACCCTTATTTATCTTTATCTTTTATTTTTAGATCCTAATGATAACATCAACAGATATACTGTATACACTACTGCTAGTGTTACTAGTACTCCAACCTCATCAGGATAAAATAATCAGATTTGCAACAAAAGGCCTTTTTCCACAGAAGATATTTTCATGTGTCACAGTAAGAAAAGCACAGGTGTAAATAAGAAAAAGTAATCATGACTTAACTTCATGCAGCTGCTTCTGTTCCGACCAAGTAATTTGATTGGACGAGAGGCCTTCCATGAGCGCTGATACAGATTACAACAGCGCTGGGACTTTTACCTGCATGTATCACTCCGCTTTTTAGAGGCGTTCTATTAACCGTTAATTAGCGGCTGTTTTACATCTTAGATTAGAACAAACTTTGCAAAGACGAATATATTTCCAGAAATAACATTTGAATCAAATTATGTGTGGTCGTTAGAGGAGGATGACGGGAAGGAAAGAAGCCTGGATACTTCAGCGCACACCCCCAGGTGCGCTCATATGACATCGTCAGGGAAAATGTTTATGTGTTGCTAACTATTTGTGCTTCAGTACATCACTCCCTCTCATGTGATGTTGCTTAGGTCAACAGTTTTGGAGTAATGAATGTATGTATGTAAAGTGATGATTTTTTTCCACCAGCTGCTGAACCCAATCGATTGTTTTCCCATCACTTTGTTTAAGTTTGGAACAGAATGGGTGTGAGGATGTGATGGGATCAGGGTAAATGTTTACACTTTGACAAACCTTTAGTCAGACCAGTTGCACAGTGCGGCCAGTGAAACTGAATCATGTGTATTTGCTTGTGAGGCGAGATCACGTGCGTTCAAGTATGTGTGATATACAGTACAGTACGTCGCTTTATTGTCCTGCAGATAGCTCCCAGTAAAACTGACCTTTGCCCTCTCGAGCTGAACAGTGGCCTGCTGCTCCTTCTCCTGCCGGCCGCCCTCCTTCTCCTCCTCCAGGGACACATCCGAGTCAGATGGTCGGCTTGTGTAGGAATCAGCTGAGCCCTGGAGAGCAACAGGACACAGAGGATAGAAATTATATTCTACCAGGAAAGAAATTACCAGTATTGGTGAAACCACTGCAGGGTGACAACTTTCTTAAAGTGACACAGATTAAACTTGACATCCAAGAGGCATAATAATAATAAACATCTGTAAAGTGCAATTTTGATATGCCCTACATTTAAATGCAAAAAAGTGCAAATAGATTCAGGACATAATAAGAGCCTGTTTCTTAAAACCAAAGAGATGAAGCAAATGAATGAGTGGGAGATTACAGAGACCCAGGTGTGTGTGTGTGTGTGTGTGTGTGTGCTGATGTGTCACATGACTACTTGTATTCCTCTCCATACAGGATCAAAGGGTAAGAGATTAAAGATGAAGAACCGGCTGGGAGGGAAGGTTCAGAAGGAAGGTGGTTTTATTTGTGGCTGTGGCTCAGGCGGCAGAGCGGGTCTTCTACTAATCGGAAGGTCAGTGGTTCGATCCCCAGCTCAACGAGTCAAAGTGTCAAAGTGTCCTTGGGCAAAATAATGAACCTGAAATTGCTCCCAATGTGTTATCGGTTTATGTGTGTGTGTGCTATTAAAGTGCTGTGTGAATGTGGCCTGTAGTGTAAAGTGCTTTAAATGGTTGCTAAGACTAGAAAAGCGAAATATAAGTGCAGTCCACTTTGTTTATTTGTAGAAATAAAATTAGAAACACAGAGCACAGGGCAGAGTTTTTTTTTTTTCATTTTTATTCAATATTGAGTAAATATGAATTTGAATGATGCAGAGGGTTTATTCAGAAAAACTCCACTAAACCTTGGATGAGGGAAGTGCATTGCTACACTGACCTCTATGGGTTGAAAGTCTGTTGCACCCCATCACAGCAAAAGAAAATCAAACAGCAAGTTTTATTGTAAAATGATCTAATGCAAATTCCTAATGCTGTAATCATCTTCTCTTCGTCTCGTCCTGGGTTGTGTACTGACCGAGACGTGTAGGGAATGGCTGGAAATTTCTGGGGAATATGCTGAATAAGAAGACGGATAAATATGAAGCGTGAGCCAGACATTTCAGCTGAGGAGATATTGATGAGAAGGTTTGGTTAAAGATATATGACGTGTTAATTAGGTAGAGGTGATGGTAGGCAGAGCTGGGCTTGCTGTTTCGCCTAAGCTAGCTATCGTTAGCTTTGAATTTAGCATACAGACATGAGAGTGGTGTCAGGCTTCTAACTCACTCAAGTAAGTGTATTCAAAAAATATCAAACCTTTCAAACTATTTTTTTTCTTATCTTATCTGTTTGCTGTATTTGGCTTCTTACCAATTTCATTTGTGTGTTTGTGCTGTATTATAGACTCCTGGGAAATCAGAAATCACATCAATGGAAGCTGAGGAGGATCCTATAAACAACACAAGTTGGGTGTGATTAGATATACTACAGCTGTAGCTCTCGCTTCTTTAAATAACACTTGATAAAGCGGAGTGAAACGAGGACCTTGATTTATAACAGAAACAGACGGGTGGTGACTAACCATAAAGTGTTGTTGGGAGGATGAACACTTACTCTTCCAAACAATATTCCCTCATTTGGTGTTGGTGGATATGGAGATGCTGCTGCTGTTTAAGAGTCATTTCAAAATTCCCACGGGTGCTCAGCTGGGTTGAGGTCAGTACCTCAGTACTATTCCTTTTGGAGAATTGATTTGTGAGGATGTTTTTCTGGCCAGTCCTTAAAATGACTTGGTTATACCGTATCTGTACAGTGTGTATGTGTATGTGTACCGCTGGGACTCAGTGGGTGTCTTGACCGCCCCCCCCCCTTCACCACAGTGCCTCAGGCTGGAGATCAGTCTCATACCATCACTATCACTTGAGTCATCTCCTTCCTAACTCACTCACTCCCTCACCCCTCACATCCTTATTAGCTACAAGTCAGTGGCTGCTGGGTTAGAGGGGCAGTAAAAACGCCCACCCACTTATTCAACGCAGAGAGAGAGACAGAGAGAGAGAGAGAGAGAGAGTGAACCAGAAAGGCAGCAGGATTATGACCGACTAGCTGAGGAAAATGTGCAAACATAAACAGAAGTAACAGCGGATGCACAGAGACACTGCTGGAGAGCGAGGTTCCCCCTCAGCAGAGGGAGTGTTATTACAGCACCAATGCGCTCATCAACCTCCAACATCACACGCAGGGAGCTGCCCACCCTGCAGTGAGGGGTGGGCGCTGCTGAGGAGACGCTATTTCAGACCTGCTGGCGAAGACATCAGCGGTGATGATCACACGTCATCCACAGCATGCAGCAGGGGCAGATCTCAATCCAAGGCCACCATGCTTTAAAGATGTACAAAGATGGCTCCTTTCATACTGTCCTTTCTACAGACTTTTATATTCTACCATAAATCTTTTCATTATCCTGTATCGTATATCTCTTTTATCCACAGGGCTGTGACGCTAAACTCGATAAGATGATTCATTTGGTCGCGTTTCTTCTCTTTTATGGTAGAGATATTTTTATTCTGTTTATCATTTTTAAATTGATTTAATTTGATCCTTTCTCTTATAAAACAACATGCCCATGAAACTTATCTAAACACACACAAAACCAAGAAAAATATGAAAGGAAGAAAAGTCCGATTCAATCCAACATGGACATGAACATGCAAAGACAAAAATTTAAATAAACAATATAAAAGAAACTATAGCTCACGCTGCCAGCACTTCTTTTAAAAATCTGAAATCTGTGTAGAAAATCATTACATTATCAATATTATAATATAAAATACCAGCTGGGGTTTTGGTTATATTGTGATTGAGCTTAAATGATGTATTTTCCTGATGGTAGAGGCTGCATCACTGTGACGTATCTATAACTGCTGTTAGTGCTGTTACTTTTAATAAAGTACTCCTGCTTCTGTTTAAGCTACACCGCTGCAAGTATCAAAAGTATTTGTAATGTTATTACAACAACTTCAATGACTTTAACTGCTTTCAGTGAGCGCTTGAACTAGTATGAATATAGTAGTATATACCTAACTTTTAAAAATGGCAGCTTACTCTATATGTAGATGTCACCCCCAAAATATTGTATTGATATATATTGATATTTGGGTATTTGGTGAAACTACTATCAAATTGGATTTTGCCAACATCTTCCAAACACAGCTGCAAGGTGACTGAGTCAGCATGATGTTACCTGCTCCTGAGTGTGAAAGCAGAGACTCTACACACCTGAGCAGGGCCCTGTGAGTGGATCCCTGCCTAATGGAGCTGTACTATAGATCCATCAATCATCAAAAGAGGGATAAATCTACAGTGCGTACTACCACCATTTTAAAACAGTGCTACAGACAGCAATGACGCATGTGTAACTGTGCTATCTTGGCTCTGAGGACGTCACCTTTGGCTGACCATTACTGTAGCTGTTTGTGTTCCCATGTGGGATATCTGGCTTCAGGTCCAATTTGTTACAACTGCACTGTGTAATAACAGCTCTGTGTGTTTGAGCACTGTGGAAAAAAAAACAGTATATAATGGGGGTGGTGTTGCTGCAAACATTTGTGACGTTTTTTTTTCCTTTAACACATCACAGTAATGTCCAGTTAAAAAAAAATGGCAGTGCTGCTGCGGCACTGTTCCCCCCTGAGGCAGAAGCAGCTGCTGCCTTTCAGTATAACTCGACAGGTTGTATCTTAAACATGGGAAGTCGAGTATGATATGACTATGAATGATATGTTTCTACCATTTCAGCATCACAATTATAGGAACAAGAGGAGCAGATAAAAAGTAGTCTGGCCGTCACCATCTTAAAAAACCTCAGTTATATCACAACTTGTGACCTCAGAACGATCTGAAACTTTACACACAGGCTGGTGTAACTTGTCATCACTGTGTACAGCTGCAACAATTTGTCAATTAATCAATCAATCAATAATCAACTGAAAAAATTAATCACCAATTATTTTAATAAATCATTTAAGTCATTTTCAGGTAAAAATTCCAAATACCTGATGTTCCAGGTTCTAAGAGGTGAGCATTGACTTTTCTCTTGGTCTTATATGATAGGATCCTGAATAGTTTGTCACCTTTGCTCTGGTACATTGAACTGTTTCCTGGTGTTTTATGGACTAATTAATTGATTAATAAAAAAAGGTAATTGGAGGAGTAGTTGATAATAAAGATGACTGTTAGTTGCAGCTCTATTACTGAGTCCTCTGCTTTACTTTGTGTTGGTTGCAGACCAGCACTGTGTAAACACTGTTTTAAACTGATGAATTCAGCGGCACAGAGCCAAGAGTAAAAGTTTGTTGAAGTTTGACTCCAGCTTCTCTGACTTCAGCGAGAGGAGCCAATGGCTGACGGCTACTGCTTGTGCCGCAATTCAGGATGGAAGATAAATAATTAAGGTGGTTTCTGAATGTGTACTCATAATTGTACAGCCTCATATTGAACCCCCGCAAAAAAAACTTTTCAGGTGAACTGAGCTGACTGTTCTTATACCAAATACTGAAAACATATGTCATGATGTTATTATATAATTGATGGACTTGAACTCACATCACAGCAGCATTTTTCACTCTTCACTCTCTCTTTCGAGTCCCATTAGCTGTTATTCTATCTCTGTGATGGAGTGAGATGTTGCCGCTGTATGACACAAAATCCGTGCTTCGTGCTGCACTACAGCTGAGTAATCACTACATTAGCATACACACTGGACGCCTGCCCCATTGGCAAGGACCAGCTAGCTCAGTGCACAGGCTCTCTGGGGTCCACGAGCTAATTACTGCTCATCATGGCTTTCTAGTACAGGTACGGGGAATGTACTGTAGTGTGAATTGTGGCCTGCAGGCTGCCGTACACATCAGCCTCTCCGGGGTCAGGAGCCAGTTATTCCCCTTGTCACCAGCATTAAATGAGATGAAGGAGTGAATGATGAGAGTAAGCATGGCGGCGGCTGCTGCTGCTGCTGCTGCTGCAACCGTTGCCACCACTGACATCAATAGCCTTTATGATTCATT